TACCTGCAAGCATAACGGGGCTTAGAGAGCTGCCAGTTGCTAAGTTAAGTAGACAGGGCAGTAATGTCAGCAGCTCATTCTAGTACATCCACATTAGTATCAACGCCACTTTCTGCCTTTGCTGGGGCAGAACTCAGACAGCTCGGGTTTCGGTGGTGCATTCAGAGGAAAAAGTCAGCTCATGCACAGGCCAGGCGTTTTAATTAGCTAATGGTGCTAGCCGTTTCATCTCCAGCATCTGTGTTGATTGCTCACAAAAGCCTCCATTTACTCCAAAACACGTCATTTTGGCAAAGGTCTGGGCCGGCAGCTGCTGGAGAAATGTCCAAAAATCAGTCTAATAAATCTTTAAATATACGTTTGCCGGTTTCACACTAGCAAAAAGGAAAAAAGGAAATTCCCTGGTCTATGTTTTTTCCAGCAGGTTGTTTAAGCCAATTGTTCTTCAAGTAAAGGTCTGTATGCTCAAACTTTGAAACGAATGTGTCGTAAGGGTGGCTCCGCATGGTGTGGTTTAGGAAGTAAATCCTAATATCCGTTAACATTACAACATGTAATTTAAAAATTAAAACATTTTTTTGCACACCAAATGTTCAATGACCAGCTGTCTGGTGATGGCGACGACGACAAAGAAGAGAAATGCAAGCAAATGGGTGTGTACTGCTCAGAAACATTTACTGCTCCATTAAAATTAAAGTCACATATTCAGACTGCACACCCTACAAATGCGATCTTGTAAACTGAATATTTCACAAATGAGAAATATAAAAAAAAAAAGGGGGTCAGAAAACCTCAGCACTTTAGAAGTGTTATTTTTTGCAAACGAGTGATACGAGTAAAGTATAAATTCAGTATTATTTTTATCATTAATAATTTATTATTATTATTATTATTATTATTATTAATAATAATAATAATAAATACTTTTTTATAAATAAATGTGTTATTTATATTTTATTATAAATACTTTTATAAATGTATTAATAATAATATTAATAATAAATTAAAATATAAAAAATATGGCATGACATGTTGAAAAGGCTTCCAACCCCTGATTAAATAAAACCATATGTGAGGAAAATAGTTTATTAAATAATTTTAAAGTTGAAACTTTTTGAAAATACATGAAAAGTTTCTTCTTAAAAAAACAAACAAACAAACAAAACTAGATGACAAAAAATGCAAGAAAGAAGTCACTAAACAATCCGGTTCCAATATACACAGACATTTTTGCATCAGACATATGTCTAAATGAATGTCAGCACAGATGACGCAGGAAAAGCCAAAGTAGTAAAATCTAAAAGGTCAGAGGAATTATAGTGCTATTATGACTATGAGAACTCAGTGACCGTTTAGTACAGTAGTAAACACACTAACTACATAAAATACAGAACAGCACAGCCCATATTCTTAACCTGTCACAGCAGGCACAAACTGCAGAAAATGGCAAGAAAACCTCAAGTCGACTGCAAGCACGCTAAACCAAAGCCAAGATATTAATGACATAAGATTAAACCAATACATTCCAGAGGAAATTCATTAAAGAAACAATCAGTAATGTTCAACGTTGTAGCATGGATCGGCTCATCAAACGTGATCAACTGGATAAGTAACCGGAGTATTATCAACAGATACGCTTTGATGAATATTTACATGAATTTCATGAGCTCTTGGGATAGGTGATCTGAGATACAAATCCAGAGGTGAAACCAGTACAGCATTGACATATAAGAGCCCTGGGAAGTGTCGGGGCAGCAGTCGCTGGATAAATTTTTAATATTAATGCAGACAAGAAGGGCAAAAAAGCAATAAACTAAAACAACACTTGAATTAGGTATGAAACACAACAGGATATTGCAGTGAGATTATGTTGTTTCCTTTTAGATGCCTTCTCCCTCTGCTCTCCAACTACCACAAAACAGCCTGCGGCACTTTTTAATTGGAAAGGGTGAACCGAAAAGAGGCTCTCAAACTCTGCAAAGCGGTTTTAAGAGGTCTGCCCAGCTCAGTGATTGCAGATGTAGCTGTGTATTTACGTGCCGGGGCATAAAACCACGTCCAGGTATGAATGGTGACAAAGCAGAGAGTCAGAACCCCGTCCTATGTTTGTGATAATGACTTTTTTCTGCCAAGGCGCTGCATGATACAAATGAAATGGGAGAGAACACAAAGCAAGGGAGAGAAAGAAAGAGAGAGAGAGAGAGAGAGAGAGAGAGAGAGAGTGGAATGAGAGAGCGTTATGTTTGGATGCAGGGGAATTGTGCCTTGTGCACTCTTTGAGGAATCTGCAGTTGGAAAGATAATAAAAGGATTAGCTGGGTTTTCTGAAGCATTTGCTTCTAAATCAAAACGTCTCATCGGTTTCCTCTGCACAAATAGCTAGAATACCAAAATGTCTTCGTATATTGTGCAAAGGCCACAAATGCAACATGTTTCAGACAAAAGCTGCTTCTTGCGGAGGTCACAGGAAGGCTTCGATTCGGAGGAAAAAACGAAAACACATCAAAACCTGAGCAGGGTCAACTAGTCAAGTATGTGCACTCATCCATTTTGTGAAATAAATAATAAATACTATTTTTCATAAAATATAAAAAAATAAAATTAATAATAAATAAATAATATAATATAATATAAATATCATATTTATTTTTTCTCCAATGATTACAAAGTACTGAATGAATCAAGATTTTTTCATTCTGAATCACGCAGTTTGTTTGGTTGAGTCTGTACATTAAAAGATTCCCATAAAAACTGCAATGAAACTGCAAAACTGCATTATATCATTTAGCATTAGTAATATCATCATTAAAGTCACTTTTAAATAAAAAAACATCAATACTGTGAAGAAGTCACTCACCCAGTAACACAATAATGCTGCTACAAGTCAATTACATTCCACTCAAACTTGAACACATTACATTACATACTGTACATTATTTTTATTTCCTTAAAAATGAATTTAAATGTCAGTAATTAATATTTGAAAGCACTAAGTTGCAATTTCTGAAACACAAAACAAAAATAAAATCTAAATCTTTCCAAGTACCTTCTGAAATCTACCAAGGGAACACGTACTGCCAGTTGGGAATCATTTAATGATCCACTAAATTTGAAAATGCTTTGACGTTTGACTTAAATTGACCTTTTCTGTTTTTTGAACAGGAAACGTTAATGCGATTCTAGCCCAGGCCACCGGACTGCCTGAAAAAAGAGACTGAACTTGAACAGAGTTGACTCAGTGAGAGGCCCTCACTACATCCAGAGACAATGTCCAGCCATTTTACAACAATACATGGGTTTGTTCCTATCTTAGCATCTGCTTGGCATCGCCATGAATAAAAATGAGTGTTTGTTTGTTCTGACAGGTTGTGACACCAGGGCTCTTGCCACATACTCTGGGCAGAGTTTTGAGAGTAAGAACAGAACTCTTATAGCACTGTTGTACAAGTATGAGCAAGTGAGAAAAAGAGAGAGATTATGCGATTTAAAAAACAATAATACTCAAATACATATATACAACAACAAAAGCAATGAGTCACGAAAATGATTTCCAGAACCACCAAGTTTATGCCGCAGACTGCGCAGCAATGCCGAAAATGTAGTTGCACGGATTTGAAGGAATTTGCATGATCTAATTACATCTGTCAGTCCAGCTGCTGTCAGCTCAGAGTAAACCAACATCTTCTCGAGAATAAACAAAACTTGTCATTAATAACCTCAACGGAATTGCTCAATGCTACCCTTGTAACATACTCCGCATATTAGTGTACAGCTGTCTCCTACTGACACGGCTAAACAGATAATTTGGATACAAAAAGGTATCCCGGGATTTAGAGGAATAGGCTGACTTCAAAACAAGCTGTTATATTATCTGTAAAATAAAAGGATTTTTGGACAGAATCTTGTACATAAAATTTTATATATCTGACAAGAAATCCAACATTCTCCGATTGAGCAATAGAGGGGAATTTTGCTGTCATCTCCTCTGCGGCTCCGTTCTTACAGACTACTACATTTTTCAAAGTGTTTAGTTTGGATAAAAGAGCCAATTCTCTTAATACTTGTGGGACGGCTAAACGTTTAAACCTCCTATTTAAAGGGATCAAGTGCATGCATTGTTTGGTTATGTTAAACAGATGTGTAGAGGGGTTTTTTTTAGATCTCAATCATTTTACTTTTTTAAAAAGGAAAAGACAGAAAGACAGACAGAGAGAAAGAGATCTTAAGAAAATAAACAGAGTTTCACCCTACACAAATTGTGGACTAATTGTGTATTTGGACTTACACATTGGTGGGGCTGGAGCCATTTTTCCACTTGAGCTGAAAATGTTAGAAAAAGCACTTTGACATTGATTAGTGTGTTGACTTGTGGAATCGGAGAGTTTTACCTGGATTTCTTGGGTTTCACCACAACACTATTTATACAGCTAGACTACAGGTCCAATTAAATACCCAAACCCGTCAGTGGAAATGTTAGCTGCACTTTCAGTTGAAATCATAATTTCTCATGCCATGCGATATGGTTGTGAAAGAAAAAAAAAACGCTGAGGAAAATAGGCATAGGTGGTCCCTTGAAAGCGGTTACAAAAAATGAAGCTTGGAGAGAACTTCCAAATATATTCCTTAAATAAAACAGACACAAAATTCAAAAATAATGGATTTGTAAAAAAAACTTTTATGGGGCCTTTAGAAAGAAATTTGGTTTAATAAAGCCTAATGAAAGAGTTATTTGTCCTCTGTTGATAATACATACTTAAAAATTTATTTTAAAACTGACTTGCTTAATTAAAAATAATTATACCGGCATTTGGTTTCCCCAACTTTCCACTCAAATTAAAGTCAACGAGGATTCCAACAAAAACAATTCACTCCGAAATACTGCTTATGCATTTTGAAGGCCATTTCAGCTGCCACCTATAATCAACTCTATGAATTTCATTATGGGGAACTGCTGGAAATTGTGCACTTTTGACAGACAGCTAAAAACGGTAGAGACTCACCATGCATTTGTTGGGTTTCTCTCCAGAGTGAACCCTCATGTGGATGAGCAATTTGTAGCGGGCGTTGAAGGGTTTGTAGCGTCGGACACATCCGGCCCAAAAGCAGGTGAAGTCCTCGCCCTTGCGCTGGTCGATGTGAACCTTCTCAATATGCCTAACCAGCTCCTCCTGCTGCTCATACGCCACGCTACAGTCAATCCATCGGCATACCTGCTTATCGCTAAATACATCCTCCCTGTCGCCCACCTGCTGTTCGACCAGGCCTGTGGGTTTGGGTGGTGCCAGAAGGCCTGAGGGTGGAGACTGTTGCTGGCTCTGAAGATTCAGTAGAGCTCCTGGGCCGGAGCCCATGTACTGGTGCAGGTGGTAGGGAGGGGGCATGGGTGGCCGTGGGGGGCCTGCTTGGTGATGATGGTGGTGGTGCTGGTGGGAATGCCCACCGCAGTGGCTTCCGCGGCTCGTCAGATGGTGATAGTGATGCTGAAAGAGCTCCTCCTCACTTGGAGAGAACTCATCCACCGGTTCCTGTTTCAGTGTCGGCATACAGCTGTCCAGCACCACGCCGGGCTGTATGAGAAGTCCAAGCCCGTCGCAGCTACCCACGCCGGGCCCCGGCTGCATGGAGCCTACGTCCTCACAATGCTCCACCGATGACACCGTGGAGGACGAGGACGAAGAGGAGAGGGGTAGGAGGCAGGACGAGGTGGAAGGTGAAGGCAGCTGAGGGCTGGGTGTGGGGAGAGGCTTGTGGGAGAACGTGGCGGCGGTAGGCGACGATGAATTGGTGTGCAGGCCGTTAACGCAGGACATCTGGGAGGAGCAGATGTTTGTGGCAATATCAGTTCCCTGTGTGGATGACTGGGAGTCCACCGAGAGGCAGCGTCTCTTCAGTCCGCTCGCATTCGGCCTTGCTGAGTGACGCGAGCTCAGGGACAAAGCAAGCGGGGAGGAGCCATCTTCATTATTAAATGGATACACAGTCACTGCCATTGCCGACAATGACAGAACTGTTGCTAAGTTACCTTCACCGCCACCACCGCTGCCGCCACCACCACTGCTCGGACGGTCCAGTTCCCTGCGACCTGCTCCCATCCCTCCTGAAAAGTCGCCCAGGGCCGATCCCAGCTTGTAGCCCTCCTGTTTGATGGGGTACGACAGCAACGCATGACACCTATTGATGCCACCGGACAGAGATGACGAGCTGAGATCCGTCTGAAAGCCAGCAGACCTGCGGGAGAATGAAACACACCCAGAGGAATATGAGGAGCATTTAGGCAGAACGGAGCAGAAAGAATATGCACGCTATTAGTGGCCCAGCCTGTTGAAAGATAAAGGCCAGGGCTTCTCAAAGTGCTGCCAACTCTGCACTGTCAGATACCGCAGGAACAAACAAGCTCTGTGCTCTGGTCCTGGCAAACCTGCACTCTCAAACATCTCTGTTAACACTGACAATGTTTGACCAAAAGCAGCACGATTGGAGAATCATTTTGCAAACCCTTACAGAATCTTATTAGGTTATAATGTTTGGTTTGAGTTAATCAGAAGCTACTTTTTATGTTCCTCTCTCTCTCAGGAAACATCCATTGGATGGGTTTCCACTGTGGTGTATTTTAAACACTGGTTATATCCACCACAAACGCTCCCGAGCAATTCCATGAATAAATGATGCAGGAAATTTGGCCTGAACTATAGTTATGAATGGGTATTTAAAAATAAGAAGAGAGAGAGATGAATACAGGCAGGCTGTCATACTCAACGTATGACAGGCTTTGATGACACAATAGGAGTTAACCGAAGCCTACATGTGAGCTAAATAGAAGTCACCTGGTTTTGGTGGTATAATGGTGGGCCTCTAAACGCTCTGTGTTTACAATACTCCCCATTATAGTGGGAATCTTTGCCCCCCTTGAATGGGGGTCATATTTCCCAGTGCGTCGCTGTGATCTTCCACATAATAATTCCTGTCAGTTTGCTCATTATGGATTTGTGCGCAAAGCTCTGGAATGATGTGAGAAGGGCCCTCTGTCCCAGCAGCCTATGAAAGATTTTGTCTAAGTCCCCTTTTCACTTGTTGCAGGAAATCACTAATGCTAGCGCACTGGCTGAGCTGAAGCCTCAAGTTTGTCATGAGTCGCTCCATTCAGGCTCACCACTTCCTGTTTGGCTGAAGCAGTGACATTCAGCGACAGTATTGGGAGAGTTGGATGGCATGCACTTTGGATAGCATCCCTCGCTGAAACTATGGGTTTCAACTGTACTGCGGCTACACAGAAGCCAAAAGAAACCAACGGCAGTCTCTTTTCCTAGCCATTTAAAAAACAGACACAGCCAATAAGCGCCATCAGTACTGCAGTGTTTGACTAGCTTAGTTGACTTGTTCCGCACTACATTAAGCTTTATAAAAAAAAAACATTATTTGCTTTGCAGATATGTGTTTACATTTTTAATGTAATTAGCAGGACTATAAAATTGCAATCTTAAATGCTTTACATGCACTTTACTAGATCCTAGTATACAACTTTATATTTTGAACAATGTGTTTAATGGGTGTCCTTTTCTGTCATACAATCACTCACATGAACTGCTAATCCTGGATGTCTCAGAGGACAAAAAGCAAAAATCAAAAGCAAATACTTGTTTGTCTTTTAATTAATAATGGCACTAATATACCATTCAAAAGTTAAGGATCGGAAAGATTTTGTAATGTTTTTGACTGACGTTTCTTATGTCCACCAAAGTTGCATTTATTTGAACAAAAATAGAGTAAAAACAGTAATATTGTGAAATACTATTACAATTTAAAATAACTATTTTCTATTTTAATATATTTTAAAATGTATTTTATTCCTGTGATGGCAAAGCTGAATTTTCAGCAGCCATTACTCCAGTCTTCAGTGTCACATGATCCTTCAGAAATCATTCTAATATGCTGAAACTATGATATTGGCCCATTTTTTTCAGGATCCTTTGATGAATAGAAAGTTCAAAAGAACAGCATTCCTCCTATCCTTGTGTCCCTTAGCATGTGTCCCTACTATGCTTTGAGCTCATTTTTATATAGAAATTATATATCTTAAACTTATTTTAGGCTTGATTCCTGTATATGACACTGATAATCGGTTTCACAAGACGCCTTCAAATGCCACAAAGTCAAGAGGTAAACTATACTGCTGATGTGAGGTGCACAGAGAATATAACCAGAAGCCACAGGAATTTTCGGCACAAATCTGTTTTACAGATTTTCAAAATTGCTCAATATCATATCTGGGATGCAATTCTTGCCACAAGAGGCAGCTTGTGAAAACAGTTTTGCTGTTAGCCCTTTAGCTAAGACCCTTTAACCCCCAAAACAGCTATTTAAGCAACCATGAGGAACAGAAGACACAAATATGCATTTTTTCTTCTTTTTCTTCTTTTTCAAAATAACAATAGAACCTTCGAGGCACTTTTGATAACAAGCATAACAACAGACATGAATAGCAGATGACATGCCTTTGGTGAAGGTGATTGTCCCCAATCAACACTCTTGTGCAATACAGAAATGTGCACATCCAACCTGCAGAAGATGAGGCAAATGGCTCAGTATCAGAATACTTCACACTCCATTTGCTTCTTTTAATGTATTATTGTCCAACCCCAAAAACGTTCTGCCAAGTTACATCAATTCAGATCCAAGTTTGCATTAAAAGCCTTGCTCTATATGGAGAGAATTATGGGAGACGTTTAAAGATATGATCCTTTGTTACATTAACAGAATTAGTTATGGCAAGGCTACATAAGAGAAGCTCCTCCACGTTTGGAAACTTGGACAGAATGTTAGATTGGATTTATATTGAATTTGCAATGGTAATTCACTTTTGGGTATTGCACTTGGTTTTGGTCAGAAGGTAGGAGTCTGTGAAAGAACCAGTTGTGAAAGCTGGGACAAAGAGAAAAAGAGAGAAAAAGAGAGATTTTATTGCTCAGGCAACAATGGAACCCACAGCCTACTATCATCAGATGCATGACTGAATTTATGTTTTCTTGTATTCTAAAGTATTGTTTAAGGGGTTTATTCCACTTTTCATTGATAAAGACAGTAGAAAGGAAATTATTGGGAGACCAGATTCAAAACTGCATCTGCCACAATAATACATTTCCTTTATCCAAAATAATATATATATATACACATATATAATAGTGGAATATAATAATAGAATTATAGAAGAATTATGCAAATGCTGCTTGAAATATGAAGCACAGCAATGCTTTATGTCAATTACCCAGATGTGGGAATGATAATATATATATATATATATATATATATATACAGTGGGTACGGAAAGTATTCAGACCCCCTTAAATTTTTCACTCTTTGTTATATTGCAGCCATTTGCTAAAATCATTAAGTAAAGGTAATAGACTATGGGGGGGAATGATTGTCACAACTAGAACGCCACAGGGCAGTGAAAGTAAAGACATGAATAATGTTTTAAAACATTACTATTTCAAATAAATTCTGTTCTTTTAAACTCTCTAGTCATCAAAGATTCCTGAAAAAATGTATAATGGTTTCCACATTAATATTGTTTTCAATAATATGATTGATAATAATAAGAAATGTTTCTTGAGCACCAAATCAGCATATTAGAATTTCTGAAGGATCATGTGACACTGAAGACTGGAGTGCTTCAGCCATCACAGGAATAAATTACACTTTAAAATATATTAAAATAGAAAATTATTATTTTAAATTGTAATAACATTTCACATTATTACTGTTTTTAGTCTTTTTGCACGTCTGACATCAAAACTTAAAATCTCATGTAAACATGTTTTTTTATATATTACAGTTATCAGGATATTGTTGTGCATATTACCATAACAGATTTTTTTGCTTGATATTTTGTTTGATTAACAATTTCATTACTAGTTTGAGCCCTCACATGATGTCCAAAATAAAGTTTGAATCGTCAAGCAAAACCAGTTAAGAATCACTGCTTTACAGTAACATACAGTAGAAGAAACAGTGCAACCCCCCCTGCCCCATAACCCCACCACTGGACCCCGGGGACTCCCTGCATCTGATCAGCAGATGGGCAGGCCATTATTAAATGTAATTGGTGGTAATCTTAGGTGATTTTTTTATTTCGGTGACACTTCATTTTCTACAATTCTCACCTCCTGCCTTTCAAGTCATCTAAGTGCAGCATTAAGTGCTGGAGTGAGACCGAGCTTGTGCCAGCATTTAATGTTTTCAAGTCTTCAGAGATGCTGGCAATGGAAAGCAGATGTCTGAAGATGCAGGAATACAGCAGAAGATGGGGCTTCAGAGAGAGGCTGGAAGAGAGCTGTGCATATGCCCATGTGTGCCAGTGCACGTATGTGTGTATCAACTCTAATGCACATCAAACATGTAAGCCTACAGAACAACAAGCTGCCAAAACCACAAGATATATGCGTCTGGAAATGTGCTGTGACATTTCTACTCAGGCCACTTTAGCACCATAAATCATAGCAGCCACACTTAAACAGTTAATAACGATCAGAACTCACTGATGCACGGTTCCTCTTACATTCGCCTTATTAACTCGTTAGTGGGGCTAGCTAAGGTGGGCATAACCATTACTAGTGCTCATCCTTGGGGTTAGGGATTAAATGTTGACATCTGTGATACCTCAATCATGCGGCTTGTTGAGAAAAGAAGCTCTACTACTTTTCTAAGGGATCTGACACAGTTTTACCTGGAGGACCATAAAACAAGCAAAAAATAATAATAAATAGACTTACATCATATAACATAATGGCTTGGGGAACAAACCACCTTGCAACCTCCAAAAACGATCTTTGAAAAATCTGTTAAAAAAACACTAATTTTATTTCCTGTATACATAAAAAAAAAAGGTTACTCCACCACATCTAATGTTCTCCTCCAAGGCTCTGTACACAAACATAAATGTATGAATGTTTAGTAAATTCAATTATACTGTATATTGTCCATTTTAAAGCTAAATTTGACTTCCAAATAAAAACAAACAATATTTAAATCAAAATAAATATTTTAGTCAACATTTTTGCACCTTGCCTTTCTCTGTTGCTCTATGACTTCCATTTGATGTTTGTGCATGCACATGTTTTGATGAACATGAAACATGCACGGATGAATTTTTCACAATAAAATCTATAAGCATTTAGAAAATAGATAGGGTGAATTTTCATTACAGGCTAGCTTTATGTGTGAAATTTAAAGGGGTCATATGATGCGATTTCAAGTTTTCCTTTCTCTTTGGAGTGTTACAAGCTGATTGTGCCTAGATAAGATCCCTGAAGTTGCAAAGACTAAAGTCTCAAAACCAAAGAGATATTCTTTATCACAGTTAAGACTCTGCCACGCCCCCCTAAAACGGCTCATTCTAACACGCCCCCACATATCTACCCCACTATGTGGAAATATTTGCATAATGCACCCAAATGTGGTCTGAATACTTTCCGTACCCACTGTATATATATAATAGAAACCTTCAAAAGAGCTTTTTCCCCAGACTTCTTATCCGTTTCTCACACAGTGAAATCAAACTGAAAAGGATGAAGGACGAAGAACACATTGGCTCTCATCTATACCTGGAGGACAGACAGAACACAGAGGATTTTTCTCCAGCGCTCTTAGAAGATCTCTGATCCTTGACCAAATGTAAGCGAGGGTAAAGGAGGGAGCAGGTTTGCAAGCATTCAGAAGCTATTAAGGAATGACAATCTTGGGTGTGAGATCACTGCTGTGCGGAGCCAATAACACCTGAGGGCAAAGCAGAGCTCCGTGATGAAGACCAGACTGATGTGCTGGCCTCATTCACAAAAACACAAGAACACAAATCACAGAGCAGAACCGAACTGTAGTGAGAAAAACACTTCCATTGTCATCCTCGTTTCACATGTACAAAAGAACAAGGCTTTTAGACTCTGAGCAAATAACAAAGCTGTTTTATATGGCAAACGCTTCCATGCTATATATCCATCTTATCCAGACTTGTCAACTTATAAAAAGATCACATTTCCAATATATTTTGTTGTTAAGTCAAAGTCTCTGCTTCTAATCAAGCTCCACATTATTTGGTGCAAATTTATCTGTCATTTGGTTATATATTAATACAGTATGGGGACAATATAAATACAACTGGGGAAATTAATAACACAATATTTGACTGGTACATTTACAAAATTGTCACTTTGTCATGTTGATTATTTAGCATATTTTAAACACCTCAAACATTGTTGTTTTATCAAGTAAAGGTAATAGACTATGGGGGGGAATGATTGTCACAACTAGAACGCCACAGGGCAGTGAAAGTAAAGACATGAATAATGTTTTAAAACATTACTATTTCAAATAAATTCTGTTCTTTTAAACTCTCTAGTCATCAAAGATTCCTGAAAAAATGTATAATGGTTTCCACATTAATATTGTTTTCAATAATATGATTGATAATAATAAGAAATGTTTCTTGAGCACCAAATCAGCATATTAGAATTTCTGAAGGATCATGTGACACTGAAGACTGGAGTGCTTCAGCCATCACAGGAATAAATTACACTTTAAAATATATTAAAATAGAAAATTATTATTTTAAATTGTAATAACATTTCACATTATTACTGTTTTTAGTCTTTTTGCACGTCTGACATCAAAACTTAAAATCTCATGTAAACATGTTTTTTTATATATTACAGTTATCAGGATATTGTTGTGCATATTACCATAACAGATTTTTTTGCTTGATATTTATATATGTGTGTGTGTGTGTGTGTGTGTGTGTGTCAGCACATGTACCTGACAGGAACTGACATGAAACTGCTTATTAGCATCTTTGAAAAAGCTTGGATCGTGCTCTTTTTTCCAAAGTAACTCGCTCTGTGGCCATCCGCCATTTTTCAAATGTGTGTTTCCATAAAAGTGTGTTTTGTAAATAGATGCTGATGAGTTTCTCAGTGTGCATCACACAAACCTAATTAATCAACAATTAAATTTGTTTTTCATTATTGGTTTAATCGATTACTTTATTCAGCCCTACTTAGAACAGCCTAACAACATAGCAACACCCTAGCAACTACCTACAAATATCTATTATAGTGCCAAAGATTTTTGCAAGGGCATTCACATTTTCTTCAGAAAAATATAAAAATCTAGTTTCTGTTTCATATTTTATTTCTCTGCTTCTCTTGTTGTCGTTTTGTTTTCCTTTCAATGGTCCCCTCCACTTCTCCTTTTTTCTTTCAGAGACCAGATTAGCAGACTCCTGAGCAGTGGGCTTTTACTGGATTCTCTTGCGCTCTTCAACACGACTGCAGTGTCCTGTGCAGATGTTGCATATTATGGATGAGAGCCTTCTCCATGTTTAAATCTCATATCTCATGTCTATACTTGTGTCTCCACACAGACCCGGAACTTATATTACTTGCTTAGTAATGAAGGTTTGATTGAAAACCTGAGGGTACAACAAAATGAAAAATAACGAAGTCTGGGGAAAGGTTCCCTTAAACAGGTGCCTGGCCCTGAAAGGGCAGGGGGGAAAAACTCGATTAAACTATGAGGGACTGAAATGACTTTGTTTTTCTTGCTGGATTATTGGTACCACCAGACCAGGTTTTTCATGAGGATGAAATTGGTTTGTTATGGCAGTTTCTGTATAAAGACAAATGCAGGTTTATGTTTAGTGACAAAAATGTCACTTTTAGCAAAAATATATTCTTCAGCCAGTGTTTCATGTCAAAGAAAACAAGGTACACCAAAAGCAAAGAATATTATGGCCTCAATATGATGGCCATTTTATGGAAAAACCACTCTTGTGTCAGGGTTATTATTGTTAACTAAAACTAAAACTAATAAAGAAAAAAATCCTTGATTTGAAATGAAATAAATGTCAACTGAAAATAAAATATTGAAAAAAAAAATGTAAACATACTTCATTTCTGCTAGTTGCTGTTTAGTTTAAGTTGAAGTACCAAAATAACTCTAATAAATAAAAATTAATAAAAAAATCTTATAGATATATTTAGAAAATGAAAATAAAAATGACAAACAAAATTACCAAAAAATTAAATGAAAACAGAAAAAAAATTTTAAAAATAATTTAAAATTCTAAAAACTATAATAGTATATCTATTAGACATATCAATGATACTAAAGTATTTTATATTTTTATATGTATTATTTGTTTAGGTGTAAAACTTAAACTGGAAAAACTACTAAAAGTACATTTACTTGAATTACAAAAATTAATTAAAATGTAATTAACATTATGTCATAATTTACTCATTATGTCATAATTTTCTGTGGGATATAGTTCATAATGACAACATCTATTAAGTTACAATAAAATACAATAAAATCACCATGAAAGTATAATAAAAGCAGTTATTTGTAGTTTATTTGTTCTTTTTGTCAGTATTTGTTGTATGTAAAAGAACCATGGGGAAAAAAACGCTTATGGGTTTGGACCAACATGGATGTCGAGTAAATGATAACAGAATTTTTATTTGTGGGTGAGCTAATCCTTTAAGAAACTTTACAGCACAGCAAAGATTTTCTCTTTTGCAACCACATGAAGGGTTTTGCTTTCAGAACACAGACTAAATTAAGTTATAAATAATAAGCTTAAAGATCTGCTGTAACATTATATCTACACAGAGTTCATCAAACAAAAGAAGTAGAATAATTTGCTCATGAGAGGGACAGATGCAGCTGGCCACTGATTTCATAATAGCTTCGGCTCCTAAAACAGTCCGAACTGACCGCAGACTACTGAACACAAACAAACACAAAACACTGCCTGCACTACTCCTACGGTTCAATGACTAAACCGCACGCTTGGACTAGAGAACCTTTATAAATCAAGGCTCACAGTGATTAAAGCATTACATGGCCATTTCAAAACTTTATCGACCATGCACAAACACACCTAGGCAAACGAAGTAAAAAATAAAACAAACTAAAAATGCTAATGACAATCTGTCCTAACTGTGATCAGGCAAGTGACTTCTTGACATGCTTCCAGACATCATGATCAGTTGTTGATCTTCTTCCATACCTTTATTGTAATTACTGGGTTCCACTTGGGCATGTCACCACCTGCTGGCGACTGGCTGTCACTGGAGGAGCCTCTGAGTCTGTCCTCTGTGGACTGACGTGGGTGGATCTGGACCACCATCACTTCGGTTTCCAGTAAGCCGCGGGTGAGGCTGGTTCAGGGTGGTGCTGGAGAACCTGGCAGAGCTTTGGCCGTACCCATTGTGCCAGAGATGGGGTTCATGGCTCCAGCTTTTCAGTTTGTAATGGATACGCTCTCATCAGATCAAATAAAATACAATGCAGCTCCTGCCACATAACTGACTTTTAAAACTTTCCAAAGGCACAAACATTCAGGTCGTCTTTTTCAAAATCAATGTTCAATGAATCTGAAAATCAACAGTCATCTTCAATGCTGTCAGTATGATCATTATCAACAGTCATTTTGCTCATGATCGTCATCAAAACAATGTCAGACCTGGTCACTATAATCTGATGCCCATGCTATTGTGTCGTTTAACTGAAGCAAGGATGGTTAACTTTTAAATGTGGGCTTGTTTTCAGAGCTAAAGACTTGTGGAAGAGGTTTAGAGTCTGTTGAGACATTAGCTTCAATATGGAAGCTTGTTTCCGAGATTAAAAAAAAAAAAAAATAATAATTGTGACTTTTTATCTCACAATTCTGACTTTTTTCTTGCAACTAAGAATTGTGAGATATAAAGTCAGAATTGTGAGATTTAAACTTGGAATTGTGAGAAAGAAAGAAAAACAGCCAAAATTGTAAGATAAAAAGTGGCAGTTATCTTTATTTTTTATTCTATGGCATGAACAAAAAACTGAATTGCGTGATGTAAACTCAGAATTCAAAGAGAAAAGTCATAATTGCGAGATGTAGACTCATATATCAGAGAAAAAAGTAAAATTGCAAGATATAAACTCATATTTGCAAGAAAAAAGTCTGAATTCAGAGTTTATACCTCACAGTTCCGAGTTTATATCTTGCCATTATGTCTTTTTTTCTCAGAATTGTGACAAAAAAAAAAGCTAGAATTGTGAGATAAAAAGTTGCAGTTACTTTTTTAATTGTTTTATTCTGTAGAAGAAACAGGCTTCCATAATTCAAAAAGCAATCGTCAACTAAAATGATTTTCTATTGTTCTATTCAAATCTATTGCCTTAAAAGAAGTCATGTCCCCTTAAAAATAATGCAGTGTAAAAACAGAACAAGAACAAACTTGTTTTACAATGAACAGTAGTAAGAAACGGGTTCACAAACAAAGTTCACGTTTTGCGGTCTACATATAGTACAGGATGAGGTTACCGGAAATGATTTTACATCAGGCCCACTGAAATCTATAGAGTGTGAAATACTGGGGCTGATTACAATGTAAATATGTCAGTAGCACGGGGCTGTGGTACATTCCTGTGTCTTGTGCTGTAAAAACGTACAGCTTTAACATTAAGACTCGATGAGGTTCCTCATCACAGGCTGCTGTTCTGGCTTTTATGGGATCTTGACAGCTCTTTGGGGCTCTGTAAAAACACAAGAACTTCGGGACCTCGGAGGTCCTGCAATACTGCTGCAGTGAAACTGTACGGGTTGCATTACGTCGTTTCTGTTTTGTGTGTGCGCGCATGTGTGCAACTTATGTAGAAATATGTGTGCATGCGACTATTAAGTTATTCTAAGCTTCGAGACAAGTCAAACAGCCATGTTCGAACAGAAACAGAGCTTTTCTTCTCAAGCAAAATGCTTTGGTTTCTCTTTTTGCACTGTGAAGTCATATTTAAATACTCTTGTATTGCAAAGATTATGTGAAATTAATTCCATTTGCAAAATATCTTTTGACACTAAATCAGGCTGCCAAGGTTGTGACCTAATAAAAGTTCTCGCATAATCCTTATTATGAAAACTGGCCCTTGTAATTAAAAGTGAAATGCAGTCTTGTACAGTATCCAACGTTCTAAGCTCAAATTTCTGGACTGTATGAGTCAAAGCTAATATTTTCATTTGGTGCATTCCTACAGTATGACAGCTAATGGTCAGCACAGCATTTCCAATAAATACATGAGAAAGTGAGTTGTACTGTACACTCTCAGCAGTCCTATTAGCTTGATTAATTTTAGTTAACTAGAAATAAAAGGCAAATTGTCAAAATCGACCAATAACAAATCAAACAATACAGGGTCAATAGCTGTCCTGTCACTGTCTGTGGCCAAAAACAAGCTCTGAACACAACTGTATTGGCCCACATTACAGAGTATGGCGTTCACTTTAGGCTGCTTCCAATATTTACAAGCAAGACTGAAACAGTGAGAGAATTCGACTGAATGCAGATGGCAGGAAGTTCCACTCAAATGACAGTGGCCAAATTCAACCGCAAAACACGAGAGGAACCTCACAAGCACACATTGCATGTCCTCTTTCCAAATGCTAGTACACTTGTCTGAAGCTAAAGAAGACTATATGCATGCATTGTTACATTCAAAAGACACTCATAATGTTACAAAAGTCTTCTATTTCAAATAAATGATGTACTTTCGAAATTATTTATCATGGTTTACACAAATGATTATGAGTGGCAAGAAATGTTTGGGAAACCCCTTGACAGTTGCAGTTTAATGACAGAAGTGCTTGTAATTGAGTCGTAAATAAATCTAACAATGTTTGACAATGATTATATCGTTTTCTACGCAGTGCAGCCCTGCCTGCAATTCTCTAAGTGGAAACTTTGTTTTTAGATGGTAAAACCAGATGGTTATGTGAGGAACACAACAGCGAATCATATTTCATTTCCTTTTTTTTTTTAGTGGAGAAAAAAAATAATGGAAGCTTTCTTTCAGAATAAGATGTTCAAAGCAGTCGGTATAATTGGTCTGGCTTTGAAGTCTCTGGCAGGGCTCGGGATAAAATCTTACTACTAGACTCACACACCAAGTAGTCTTGTTGATTAAGAAATCAATTGACTCCACCATTTTTTTGTTTTTGAGGAACCATGATTTGCTTTGACAACAGGGGCAGAGAAGGAAAAGCTTTTATTTTTATTTGATTATTCATCTTGTTTCATGTTTCCCGCTTCAAGCCCCATGCTTTTCTATTACAGTGTGCTGAGATGACCAGTCCAAGCCGAAACAAGAACATAATCCCTGCTGATATCCCCAAACAAATGTTATCTGCAAATTCACAGCAGATGACAGAGCTGGCTGTGCTCCGCAATGGTAAACTAACTTAGTCACTATCAAAGCTCTCGGTCTCAGTCAAGCATCATGGCCATGGCTAAGACTGTTTTGGGCTTTGAGTAATTCAACCCGAGGCGACTCCACAAATAAATATAACTGTCAAAATTGAGTCCATGCTGACTCTTGATTCTTTCTAATATGAATATTGCATCAGAGAGAGCTCAAAATCAATAACCATGTTTACAAGAACATAATTTTCCAATTAAGGTCCATTTTGGTCAAAGGAAGATTTCACTAACAAATGAAAATTCTGTCATCATTTCCTCACCCTTATGGCATTCTAAAACCACGTGAATTTCTCTCATGGATCACACAAGGAGAAAATTTTAAGGCAATTTTCCATGCTTTTCTCTATGCAATTACAATGAAGCTTTCAAGCTTCAAAAGTATGAAAGAAGCACTATTAAGGCATCCTAAAAGTGGTCCAGATGACTCTTGTGAAGCCAAACAGTAGCGTGGGTTAGGGCTGCACGTTTATGACAAAAATCATAATTGTCGATTATTCCTTTGAAATTGTAATTGCGATTATTAATTACGATTAAATTAATGATGTTTACACCTTTGTTTGAAGCAACTGCATACCATATTTTTATATGAAAATAAACAAGCTGAAAACAATAACTGAAAAACATTTATTGCTTTTCTATAGTATTAAGCCTCAAATGTCAACTATATATTGGATTGGTTTCTTCTTTAAAGGGGTGGTTGATTGCGATTTCACTTTTTTTACGTTAGTTATTGTGTAATGTTGCTGTTTGAGCATAAACTATATCTGCGCAGTTACGAAGCTGAAAGTTCAATGCAAACGGAGATATGGTCTTTTAAAATTCTGGCAGTTTAATGCCTACAAAAACAGCTGGTAGGGACTACGAGTTACTTCCCAGGTTCGTGACATCACAAACCCAGATAAACCCCGCCCTCGGGAAAAGGCAGCAAAGGGGGCGAGGCCATGCTGCGCTGCTTTAGAGAAGAGGAAGAGAAAACTAGAGGTGCACGTAAAAATGTATTCATATAGGAATCGCGATTCATATATTATATATTCATATATATTCATATATTGCGATTCAGTTGCCGTACTGTATTAAAGCTTTAATCAGGATAAAACTGTATATTAAAAGCTAACATAAGCAGTAGCAATTTAAATAACAGCATATCTAAAAGTATGAGACAACAACAAACTAAAAACATAGGCCTACCATTAAAAGCCGTGCTTGCACAGATTCTGCACGATCCTCTTCAATAATATCCTCTGCATCTCAATCGGGCTCAAATTGATAAGCGATATTAACGACGCTGTTGTTTACAATACAACCGGAGCACATGCCGCCGAGGTGAGGGGCGGGACGTTTAGACGTACACTAGAGACGGTTTAGCCAATCACAACACACTGGGCTAGCTAACCAATCAGAGCCCATCGCCTATTTCTGAGGGAGGGGCTTCATAAAAGCAGGAAATGATCGGCGCGTTTCTCAGAGAACGGACAGAGCGGTGTGGAACAAAGGTAAATTATGTGAAAAATAATGTGTTTTTTTTTTAAACGAAGCATTTACACATGTTAGACTGCACCACATAAACACAATCAAGCCTAGAAAAAAGCATGCAGAATAACATAAGAGGACTTTGACCGATTAATTGCTGCTTTGAATGATTATGTAATTGTGGCATCCGTAATTGTAATCGCGATTAGAAATTCGATTAATTGTGCAGCCCTAGCGTGGGTGCATTTATGGGAGATGTAGCGATGTCTGATTCGTGAAAGAATCATTCTTGAAAGTTGGGTCTTTTCAATGAATCACAAAACAGGTCTGAATGATACGTTCATGAATCAGTCTGATAGGCTTGAAGAGTTCAACTCACTGATTGAATAATCTGGTCACACATTATCAATGAATAACAACGTAC